GTGTGTGTGTGTGTGTGAGTGTGAGTGTGAGTGTGAGTGTGAGTGTGAGTGTGAGTGTGAGTGTGTGTGAGTGCGTGTGCTTGTTAAAACACATCAAATAACATAAATTAAGCTCAACATGTAATTCTAACCTTGTTACACACACACACACACACACATGTCTAAGATCCAGAGATAAAGAGTTTGGACTCTTAACTTCTTTGTGTGTGTTAATGTGGTTGGTCTAGTCTAAAACAAAATGAATCCTGTCTAGAACGTGACCAGACCTGTCTTGGAGACTATCTGCCCAATCTAAAATGAAAATCAGGAGGAGGAGAGTGAGAATACGGGATCTGAATCCTCTCCAGCTGATACCCTGCTTTTGCAGGCTCTGATAAGCAGCACATCAGCCGATAACAGCTCAGAATGAGAATGTGTGCTTTTGTTCAAACCCAAATGCTCTATACATCATGTTTTGCTTATGATGGTACAGGCCTGCATACTTTAAAACCTAGAAGAACAGGGCTTCTCTTGAACCTATAAGCATTCCAAAACACAAGGCTTATTCTGTGCTCTGGAACCCAGGGTGGGGCAGAACAGTGCTCCATGCTAATTGGTCAAGTGACTCATGGTCATTGTTGCCTCTGTAGGGCGATGACACAGCAGGCCTTGTCTTCCTTCACAGCCTTTGTCTATGACTTACACTCATGCCATTAATGCCCCTGCCCTCAGAATACAAGAGGAGAATGGTGGATTTATTTTTGGTTTTGCCAGTCCGACATATTGTGTGCCATATTCATGTGTTGTCAGAATGTTTTTGAATGTTATTTAATACAGCATGAGAGTGCATGTTGCAAAAATATGTAGTTATGTACACTAAATTTGATCAGAAATACAATAAATCAGTAATACTGTGAAATAATATTGCGATTTTAAAATACCTGTTTTCTATTTCATTGTATTTTAAAATGTAATTTATTCCTGTGATGGCAAAGCTGAATTTTCAGTAGCCATTACAGTGTCACGTGACCCTTCAGAATTCATTCTATTCAATTTGCTGCTCAAGAAACATTTCTTATTATTATCAATTTTTAAAACAGTTGTACTGCTTAATATTTTTTTTGACTCCATAACACGCTTACTTTTTATTCTTTGATAAATAGACAGTTTAAAAGAGCAGCATTTATTTGAAATAGTTTTTTTTTTGTAACAATATACAAGTATTTCATCAATTTAATACCTCCTTGCTGAATAAAAGTTATAATTTCTTTCAAGAAAAAAAATCTCACTGATGTATTGTGAATTATGAACTACTGCTCATCAGTTCACAATAATTAATTGAGGACAAAACAAATTCCTTTGAATTTACAATAATAATACAATACTATTTTTTTAATTGAAAATACATTTTTTTAATTCTTCCAAAATCTTATTTTCATATTCTTATACAATTTGCCACTTCTTAAAGTTCTCATATATAGTTGTTTTTTTCTTATTTTTTTTGTTTTCATTAGGTAATTTACCATGGTTGTACTCTTTTCCTTCCTCCTAATTAAAAAAAGTGATAATATATGGTCTTGTCAGTTACTAATGCAAGGCAGTGCTGTGATTCATATCCTCTGCCGAAGACTTTGACACATCAGAGAAAGAAAATATTTTTCAGCTGAAAGAGCACAAGAAAGGGAGAGAAAAGAAGAGAGAGGGGTCATCAAGGAGGGAGGGGGAATTTTTACAACCACATAACGGCATCAGCTTATTTACTGTTAGTCTGACTAACCTCTCTCACTCTTTCCAAACTTTGTATCCTATCTCATGCTCCTCCCTTTCCATCTCTGTCTCTGTCTTCAGCAGTTACTGATATCAGAGAGAGGGGGGAATGAGTAGTGTGAAGATAGGTGGACATGCCTTACGTGGACCGGCAGAACCGCATCTGCGGTTTCCTGGACATCGAAGAATTGGAGAACAGTGGCAAGTTCCTGCGACGGTATTTCATCTTGGACACGCAGCAGGGTAGTCTGGTCTGGTATATGGACAACCCGCAGGTATGATCTGTCTATCTGGATATTGGGTAATGTAGGTTCTGATTTACTATCTGAGAGTGATATTGTTTCTTGGTCTTCTAGAACCTGCCTGTAGGTGCCAAACACGTAGGTTCCCTCAGTCTCACCTACATATCCAAGGTAAGCTGCCACCTTTTCACACTCACAATAGTTTTTAAACATTCTCCCATTTCTGCGTCATTGATTTTTGAGAAATTGCTACAAGGCCCACACTCTTTTCTTAGGTCAGTGATGCCACCAAACAGAGGCCAAAAGCTGAATACTGCTTTGGTAAGACTTTCTCACATCTATACACACTTTTACTTCACACTCATTGTTATGATGCTTTAGATGTAGTTGAGCATTTCTTTTTTTCTGTCTTTATTGTAAAGGTGTAAGCCAGATATTTTAAGTTTTATTTCTTTTTTTTTTGTCCATTAATAATGTACTTATTTCTTTTTTTTTAATATATTTTATACATTTACAATTTTAAAATAGCTTGAACATGTGAACAACTTTCCGAGAATCAAAATTGCCATCAGACTACATAAGATATGAAAACATTTTCTTCTTATCTTATTCATATAACACGTTCATGTTATTTTGTACATCTCACTTAATGTGAACAGGCATTGAAAATTTCAGCTCAAGCCTCGGTTCTTGACTGAAGAGTTTGTGGTTTGAATCCTGGCTAGGTGCTGTACAGAAAGCTTATAAGTTTGGTTTTAGATCATGTTTTTACTGTAAGCACTGCTTTAGTACTTCTGCGAATGGATTGAAGTAGTATGTTGATGCAGTGGTGCTCTACATTTTCTAAAATTTTCCTACTCTTCTATTTCACACACTTTGAGATGATTTTGAGCCCATACTCGTTCTCACAGCTTATACACGCAAACATTTGTGTTGCTTTGCATGTACGGTTACTGCAGTGCACATGGTAACCTTCTGCGCAACACGAGTGGAAACAGGAAACGGTGGTCTGGTCACTTGATAGATGTGTGTATGTGTGCACAAGTGCTTCTAAAATCTTGCTCTTTGCAGGATGCTTCTGTAGTAACCTGAACTTCATATTGAAGTGTTTTTGAAATCCTGTTTATTGGTTTAGTTCTTCAAAAATAACCACCAGTACTTCTAACTTTTTAACAGTTGCTTTTAACCAGATATAGCTTAAGGAATAGTTCGCTCATTATTTATTATTTATGAGTTATTTATTCATCATCTTCCAAGCCCATATGACTATATTTTTTCCATGAAATGCGCAATGAAAGAAAAAACAAAACAAAAACTCTTCTTTTGGGTCAGATGAATTAGTTGATTCAGTTCACAAAACCGGTCTGATCTGGTTCTCGGGTTCAACTCACTCAATTATTCATTTGCAACAGCTCACTTGAGTTAAAGATTGTCAGTGATTCATGACTTTCATTTTGGTTTGAGTCGCAAAAAAACAAAGCAATCATTTTAAAAATGTCATTGTTAGAAAAAAATATTATATAAACACTTAGAAATGCATGCTATCAGCAAAATTTGAACCATACAATGACACGGAATGGTGTCACGTGTATGAGTGAGAACTGTTGGTAGAAGGCTAAACATTTCAGTACAGCTGCGCATAATGAACATTGCACTTGCACAATGGAGTTTATTGTGATGCAGTGAATTCTAGCATTCACCTTTTTATCCCAGAAAAACACTGAAAGCCACTGAATTAACAGATATTGCAGGAAAAAAACTGAGTCGAGTTCTGTTTTGCTGTAGCTTTTTAGTCCGAAATTGATTGGCACTGCCTTATTAACTGAGCATGAGCAAATAATCCATAGAGTCGGCTGGGCTCTAAAACAGGCTATCTGTGGGCTTTTGGGATTTATGGACATTTTAAAAATACACTGAGTCTTTTGATACACTGATATTTCTCAGAACTACTCGGCAAAATTAGAGTTATGGCCATTGCATTATGGGAAATGGGGTTAAGCTCTTTCTCTCTGTCTGTGTACAGTCGTCAATGCAGGAATGAGGAAATTCTTTCTGCAGGCTAATGATCAGCAGGATCTTGTGGAATGGGTCAACGCGCTCAATAATGCAACCAAAATCACAGTGAGTACACACACGCAAAATCCACAAGCGTGAGCGTGAATATGCATCTATATGCATATAACCCCTTACAAAAATGGACCACCCTAAACCCCCCAAATTTCATTATTTTTTAACAAAATGAAACAAATAAATAATCAAACGAATTGTGTATTATAACCAATCACACATTTATCAGAATTATGAAGTGGGATTACAGTATCAAAAGGAATAATTGAAATTGTGCTGCCCTAATTCTCATAATAAGTAATTTTACTTAATTGCAGTTGAAATGTAATATAATAATTTAATTACATCAGAATAAATAAACAGTACATAAATACTACCATAATGCTTGAAAGAGATGTTTTTATGCTCAGCGAGGCTGCATTTGTTTGATCAAAAATGCAGTAAAACACACAAAAACAAATACTATTACAATTATAAATATGTTTTCTGTTTTAATATATTTTCATATTTTATTTAATCCTGTGATGAAGTTTAATTTTCACCAGTCATTACTCCAGTCTTTAGTGTCACATGATCCTTGAGAAATTCTAAATTGATGCTCAAGAAATATTTATTATTATCAATGTTGAAAACACTTTTGCTGCTTAATATTTTTGTTGAAACGGCGATATTTTTTTCAGGATTCTTTGATGAATAGGAAGTTGAAAAGAACAGCATTTGTTTGAAATATATGTTTTTTTTAAACAACATATAGGTCTTTACTGTCTCTTTTTTGTGTGTCCTTGCTACATAAAAGTATTATATTTTTTTAACAATAGAGTTTATTCACCCTTGTATTCTGTTTTCATTGCATGAAAATATAGATTAAATTAGCTATTTTGTCTCCCTTTCAAGCTTCTTTAAAGTCCTGGACTGTTTGCATTAGTTATCTAGCTATTAAACAAGCTTACATGCTAATCTGATATCCCAGACTGCTGCGCACAGGAACATTCAAAAAAACAATGAAAGCATTCAACAAGTTCATTCAGTCAGTGTCAGTGGTTCTGTTAACACTACAGACTTGTTCACTGGGAGATACATTCTAGTTAGTATTGTCTTGGAGTTTATCTATTAAAGGTAACCCAAATAACAAAGTTCAAGCATTTACAGGCAAATTACAGTAAGAAAACACATCAGCACAATAAAACATCAAGTTTCCTAACTGGGCTCGTCTTCCCCTCTCTGAGTACATGTGCAGGCAAACACATACATACATACGCACGGGAAGCTGAAAGTTTCTAAAAAAAAAAAAACCTCTGTCCTGTTTAAGCTCTGCATTCCTCATCCTGATGCCGTTTTCCGTGTGCGAGTCACTTGGCTGACTAATGGGAAGTTGTATTGTTTGAACGACCCTCACTTCTGAGTCATCATAGCTTCAGAATGCCCTCTCACACACACACACACACACACACACGTACCCTACAATGTCTCTGTCTCTCTTCTACACTTTTTCACTCTCTCTGTATCACTAATATATCACACTTCCACATGCAATGACAGGAAAAGCTCTCACTGTAGGCCAGACACTCTTGGAGCGTGGGCTGATGGATTGAAGGGCTACACAATAAGCAGTTGTTGAGTTATCCTGTGAGTCGTAACAATTGATGGTTAATTCGTCTGTGCTCCATTCACCTTTTTTTCCCTCCGTCTTTTTGTTGCATTGCTTTGCATTTTCAGTCTTTTGCTGCTACCCTGATTTTGCTCGTCCTGGAAAACTCCCTCTCACTCATTTTCTTTTTCTTTTCTCCCAGGTTCCTAAGTCATCTGATGCTGTTCACTCTGAGAGTCAGAGGTTGGCTTCAAATGGAAACAAGAAACAGGTCCCATACAAGACCGAGATCATTGCAGGAGTGGCTGTCGTCACACAGACACAGGTATTCTCAGTCATGTAGGCTTAAACACAAAATATATACCTGTATTGTTTGAACGACCCTCACTTCTGAGTCATAATAGCTTCAGAATGCCCTCTCACACACACACACACACACGTACCCTACAATGTCTCTGTCTCTCTTCTACACTTTTTCACTCTCTCTGTATCACTAATATATCACACTTCCACATGCAATGACAGGAAAAGCTCTCACTGTAGGCCAGACACTCTTGGAGCGTGGGCTGATGGATTGAAGGGCTACACAATAAGCAGTTGTTGAGTTATCCTGTGAGTCGTAACAATTGATGGTTAATTCGTCTGTGCTCCATTCACCTTTTTTTCCCTCCGTCTTTTTGTTGCATTGCTTTGCATTTTCAGTCTTTTGCTGCTACCCTGATTTTGCTCGTCCTGGAAAACTCCCTCTCACTCATTTTCTTTTTCTTTTCTCCCAGGTTCCTAAGTCATCTGATGCTGTTCACTCTGAGAGTCAGAGGTTGGCTTCAAATGGAAACAAGAAACAGGTCCCATACAAGACCGAGATCATTGCAGGAGTGGCTGTCGTCACACAGACACAGGTATTCTCAGTCATGTAGGCTTAAACACAAAATATATACCTGCTTTATCCCTGACTGTCAGTCAAGACTAGGGTTGTCATGATACAAACATTTTTAGTCAGTACCAATACCAGAAATGTAATGATTGTCTGTAACTATTTTAATACCACATTAATGATACTGCATAATGATACTAATAATGATATGCTTTTTTTAATTTATAAAGTTAAATATAAAGAAATATGAGATATTATTACATTGTATTCAAATATAATAAAGATAATGAATAAATATAGTATTATTATATTATTAAATGCTAATATTAACAAATTTAAAACAATGACATGTAATTTTAATACCACATCAAAAACAAATATGCTGTTGATGTTATGTAAAAAGTTAAATATTCATAAATCGTATTAATAATAATGATAATAATAATACAATATAATTATTAGTGTTAATATTAACAAACTGAATTAAACAATGAAATATAATATTAATACTATATCAAAAACTAATATGGTAATGGTGAAAATGGTTTTAACTTCAAAATTATAAATAAGAATAAATTATATTAACAAAGTTCATGTAATACTACTACAACTGCTACTACTGCTCATAATAATAATAATAATAATGGTTATAAATATTAACAAATTAAATGAAATAAAAAATTGCATGTAGCTGCCCAGTTCTTCTCAATTAGGGAAGTAATTGTATTGAAATAAAGGACAAATAAATAAAACCATATGCCTAGTTTTGAACTTTTTTCTGTATGCTCTTATGTGTCTGATTTTTCCCTTTTTCACCTCTTTCAGCAGGATGGAGAGGTGGGACACAGTGTTGGAGTAGAGAAGGTGGGCTTGAGGAAGGCTCAAAACCATCCGCCATATTTGCACACTAGAGCAGGGCAGGATCAGACTGTTATTAAAGCAGGATACTGCGTCAAACAGGGGGCTCTGGTGAGTCTAAGAGACTGGTTTTAGCCTAGGTCTTGTGGAACTATGTTTGTGTGTGTTCAAAAAAAATCATTACAGGTTACTATTTTCCTCTTATATCAGATGAAGAACTGGAAAAGGAGATATTTTGTTCTGGAGCAGAACTCAATGAGTTACTTCAAGTCTGAACTGGTATGTTGTGTATTAATTCTTGACTTATGAAGCAGTTACGTCTGATAGTTTGTTGAATGCTGCTCAATGCCTTGTACAAGTTCAGGTGTCCAATAAATCATGTTAAAATTTTAGAATGAATGGCTACTTTTTCATGTTATCAAGTTGATCTTGACATGTAAGCTGAAATGTACAAGCTATTTATTTGAATAAATAAGCCTCTCTTCTGTTAGAAATGGCCTTAGACTGCTGTTTTATGAAAGAAAGAATATGAATTGAATGGTTATTTTCTTTCACATTTGAGTTTTTTTTTTTTTTAATCTGAACAAAAGATATAGCAAATACCAGTGCTCTGTCTCAGCATGAACAGCACTATACCTGAGAAATTCCAGGCAGCTGCCAGCTGTGTGTAATTCAGCTTCATATGTGCATTTGTGTCTGGCTGAGGATAAATCTTAGTCCAGTTGAGTGGTTCTTGCACAGAGTAAGCACTCCATGCCAATAAATCTATCTCTGTGAGACCTCTTTGTCTTTTTCTCACTTAATTTCTCTTATCAGGAGAAGGAGCCTTTGCGGATTATTCTTCTGAAGGAGGTCCATAAGGTGCAGGAGTGCAAACACAGGTACAAATCCAGTCATATGCTTTGGAATCTTGTTATTTGACTGAACATTCCTATAAATATATGAAGTAAATATACCAAGAAGAAATAATTGCGTTGTGCATTTACACAACCGTTTAAAACATAATTTAAAACAGATTTTAAAATGTAATTTATTCCTGTGATGGTAAAGCTGAATTTTCAGCAGCCATTACTTCAGTCTTCAGTGTCAAATGATCCTTCAGAAATCATTCTAATATGCTGATTTGGTGCTCAAGAAATATTTCTTAGTATTATGAATGTTGAAAACAGTTTTGGTTTTGCTGCTTAATATTTTTGTGGAAACCTTGATACATTTTTTCCAGGATTTTTTGACAGCATTTATTTGAGATAGTAACCTTTTGTAATATTATAAATATATTTTCTGTCGCTTTTGATCAATTTAATGCATTCTTGCTAATTAAAAGGTTACTATCTCTTTTTTTTTTTTTTTTTTTTTTTAATCTTTGTGTTCCACATAAGAAAGAATGCCACATACATCTGGGACAGCATGAGTGTGAGTAAGTGATGAGAGAATTTTCATTTTTGGATTTATCTTTTTAACCCCAAACTTATGAAAGGTAGTGTATATTTAGATTTGCAGGTGTGCATTTATAGTTATAGATTTAATATACAAATTGTTCTCTTCCCTCTTTCACTTTCAGTGAAATAATGATGCGAGACAACCTCTTTGAAGTTGTCACAACCTCCAGAACATTTTATGTCCAGGTGAGAAGTCTTGTCAAGCAGCAACATGCACTTCTATAACTTAACAGTCCAAAGATCTCAAGATTTAATGAAAAGGGTGATTGAAATGGATTTCTCTCTTTTGTGCAAATGAATATTACTGTGTCGTATGTAGGTTCTACACTGTATCTCTGAACCATATAGACAGGCTCAGAGCTTGAGCTTTTATAACTTTTGTAGTATCTCTTTATGTTTCTTTTAGAATATGTAAAAACTTTACATATTCTACCATTCTGTTTCAGGCTGATAGTCCAGAGGAGATGCACAGCTGGATCAAGGCTATTTCAGGAGCCATTGTGGCTCAGAGGGGCCCAGGCCGGTCCGCAGCCTCTGTATGTACACACACGCACACATGCATTCAAAAGCAGGTAGTCACTCTGCCTCTGAGCAAAACAATGGAGCATGAATTCATGAGTCAAGCCGAGAACACGTGGAGAGTGTGTGAATGTTTTCCAAAAAATCCCTGCATACATATATAGTTTAATCATGTGCCTTTCTTTCTCTTTCTCTTTCTCTCTCTCACATGCACATATGCGCATACATACAAACACAAGTCAATAATAATATGACTGCAGTGGTTTGGGTTTAAGATTGGTAATGGCTCTGAAGTGTTATTGCACTCTGGAATCAGAGAGTACACTCATTATGTGTGGGCCACAATCTGTTCGGTTCATACTTTTTCTCCTACTCCCCTCTGAACCTAGTGACCCCAAAAAGTATTTGGAGACTTCAGTCACACTTAATGTATAAAAGTCATAGATATATTTTGTAGAAATACTGTACAAAGTAGCATTTTTTGAAGTAGCATTTTTTGAATATGGAAACATTTTCGAGTTAAACATTTCGAAATAGATGGAAGTAGCAACAAATCTTTTCTTCTGTGTTGTGACGTATTTCCAAGTAAAACGGATTATTGAATAAGAAGAAAAATGCAGGGTGAAGGCTAGGTTCTGTTCATTGGTTGTTGTTTGGATGAAGGCAGATCTGAATGCAAGCTCACAGTCATTTGTAAGAAAGGGGCAGCGTTTAAGAGGTCTAAATGATTGGGGAAGATTGAGTTAAAAATTACTAGTTTGAAAAAAAAAAAAAAAAAGAAACATGCAGGGATGATTGTTCACAATAAGATAATCACAATAATCATTCACAATAAAATGCATTTAGAAACTTAAGTTTTAAGTCATAAAAACAGATGTATTGTTCAAAAGTAAGAATGTTTTTGTTAGTAGTTTTTTTTTCTTGCAGATGCCAATTGGTTTGATATTTTGTTATATATTTATATATATATATAAATGCAATGACATTCATACATTAAGTGTCCAAATACTTTTTGGGGCGCCTGCATCTATTTCTCCCTTACTCCTTCTAATGCAGCTTTGCAATGTTGTTTCAGATGCGTCAGGCCAGAAGGCATTCAAGCCCCTGTATTCAGAGATACACACCACGTGTCACTCAAGGCAGCACGTATGTGAGCTCCGCCCCTTGTTTCCTTTTCCTCACTTCGCTTTAGAGGAGTCGCTAACGCACATACGCACGTGGACGTACTCATCTATTCCACTTCGCTTTTCCAGAATAACTTCACACATATGCGCACACCTAACAGTTCAAATGCAGAAATAAACTTATTCAACAGTTCATTCCAGAAATGCATTGTTTTCCCGCTAATTCTACCTTTGTTTTTTTTCTCATGTTTCTTCTCAACCCTGTGGCTCCCTCATTTGAACTAACAGTTATTGATGCACTTCTCCATTTCTAATGCTTCAGCCTCTCTGCCAGCCCACTGCAGTCTCCTGCTACACACCCAAAACGCATGTTTCACACGTTTCGATTGCTCATCTGTATTTCATTATTCTTTATCGTTGTGTGCAACATGGTTCATAAAGTTTGACTTTTTTTATTATTTTTTTTTACCTTCCTAAATGATGATCCAAACTGGTAATTACTGATTAAAATAAACACAAAACCATATTCATGGCCCATTTTGCTTCCATTATGTGATATTTATTAGTGAAAGGATATTAGATGAGATAAAAATTTAAAATAGAACTTTATTTTATCCTTTGGAAATTGATTGGATAAAAGTAAGAGCTTTTGGTAATGTGATCATTTTTGTGTCATGTTGATTTTAAAACGTTCAGTTGTCTTCTCTATAACATCATTTTTAAAGTTATACACATTCAACTTAAGCACATTAATGCATTATGTTGTTTGCACATTTCCAAACCTCACAAATTTGCGCATTATTTTGTGTATGTCTTATGATGAGGTTATGTGTGCTTTAGTGTTTCGAGTTGCATTTTGGTGTCTGTTTCATAAAAGTCATCCAAACTTCTCAGTAATGACTGGGGGTAAGCTTTCTGTCTTGTGAGGTAAACCCTTGAGTCTTGGACATCAGGTCCTCAATCACTGCTGTTATTAGATTAGACATGTCTGTGCTTTCTCATACGATTGTTAGGTCAAATGTTTTGGACAGTCTAAAAGCAATGACTAAGATGCTTTGTTGTTGTTGTTGTGTTGGAGTTCTCAAACTGATGATAATATTTTTTATATCTGGATTCATTTGTAACTCTAAACACAAATGCAGTTCCAACCTTGTCTCAATATTTGTCGACTTTCCTTTACTTACGTTCTTATATTCATTTTGTCATTCAACCTTTCTCACACCACTCTTTTCTTTCATTATGTTTACCTCTGTTTCTCTCTCCCACCTTCTACCTAGGGCTGGGCGATGTAGCTTAAAAATAATTGCAATTTTTCAGTCTTTGACAATATTTAACACGCATCTCAATTAGGGTTGCAAAACGGTTGAAAATTTCCAGTAAATTTCAGAAATATTCCAGAAATTTTGGAAACTTTCAAGGATTTTTTGGGATATTCCAGGGATTTTTTGGAAAGTTTCCGGAAATTTTCCACACCTTTGCAACCCTAATCTCAATATTTTTCTATTCCCTCTAATAAAAACTTAAAGGTGATTTTATTTGTTAAAAATAGATATATTTATTTATTTATATATTTATATATTTATATTTATTAGAGTAACTATTATTGATACAAAATGACCATTGTTGTAGATCCTGAATATTGTATGTGTGTATGTGTATGTGTATAGTTGAACTGAAATACAATAATAATCCATTTAAAATTCGTAATGTATGCACCAATATTGCAGGTTTTTGAAAGAAGTCTCTTATGCTCACCAAGATAGCATTTATTTGATTAAAATTAGTAAAAAACAGTAATGTACAACAATTTTCGTTTATTTTAAAATTTCAGTATCACATGATCCTTCACAAAATCATTGAGATGCTGATTTGCTGCTCAAACATTTTTTTTCAAATATGATCAATGTTGTAAACAGTTGTGCTCCTAAACAATAATACATTTTTCAGGAATCTTTGATGAAAAGAAAGTTTAAAAGAATGTCAGTTATTTGAAAAATAAATATTTTGTAACATTATAAATGTCTGTCTTGTCACTTTTGATCTTTTTAACGCACCCTGAATTAAATAAATAATAATAATAATAATTAGTCAAAAAAAGTTTTTTCTACTCAAGTTTAAGTTTAGAGATGCTATTAAACCTCATGTTCTTAATGTGCTTCATGTTCTCATATTTAAGAATTGTGATACAAGGGCTGCTGTCAAAATCTGGCTAATGACAGTGTCTTTATGAAACTTATTGGACAAAAGAAGGCTAATTTTTTTTTTTCTTAGTTCTTAGGAAAATCAATTGTTCAGTCCAGCTTCTACCTCTCTCTACTTCTCACGTTCTCTCTCATGTTGTGTTTTCCAGTGAGTGGGACAGCTGGGCTCTCTGAGTACTAACACTTCTGTTCTGGTGCTCTGCTGGCTCTGGTACTTCTCACCTTCTTTTGCTAAGCTCATCTAAAACTTCTAATACATTTCTTGGATGTTCTTACTCACAGCTGAGACTGCTCTCAGACATTACCACACTGCATCAGTCTTAACGCGTTCCTAAAAACGCTTTATTCAGACCAGAACTTACATAGATGTATTCTCTCCCTCGGTCATCTCATTTAGGAGTTCATTGTTGGCGGCTACTGTTTCTACCGCCAGCACACGAGTCACGCCATCTCCTGGACGTCCATCCCTGCTGTGTCAGCAAACCCAGAATGCCATAGTCCCACGAGGCCTGGCATGGGACAGCGAGCACTTCATGAGCCTGCTGCCCCTGCCCCGCCCACATGCCCGCCTGTCACTGCAAGAGACCCGCCTCTCCAAGTGACTCACGAATCGCCGTGGCGACGACGTAGCAGCTTTGGAATGTGTGACGCTCCTTTGCCCCAACTTGATTTGGATAGTGCGGATCTTCCTGTCAGTGAGGTCTGACAGTTTTGCATTAAACTTTTACAACTGACCCTGAAATATTAAGGTGTGTGTGCCGAGTCTAGGTGATGGAAGGATGATTTGGGGATGGATGACCAGGCGTTCGGATCCAAACTGATTCGACCCGACCTGTTGACCAAATTCTGAACTTTTTAAACAGGTTATGTCGGATAAAAAGCTTCAGTCATGTTCATCTAAAACAGGAGCACTACCACAATGATTCAGACACCAAAGATTCTTCAAAGTACCTCCTAACCTTTGAGCGTCTATTGAAAAGTGCTGAAAGAAAAGAAACATTTGAGGAATATGGATTAAATATCACCTAAACTGAAATTGTTTCTGGGACTGTGTAGGAGGAAGTGAAAATTTGTGCTATCCCATGGATTGGAATTTGGAAAAGGCTGTTTGAGTGCTTGTGAGAAGTGATTCCTGTTAATATCCAAGAATTCCCCTTTACTGAGCATTACTGAACATACTTCATTTTTCCTGTGGGTTTTTTTTCTGTACAGTTTCCTATTTTTAAAAGTTATTCTATGTGCTGTTAACGTGACTAATTTGATCCTGTGGACTAAACTGGGGGTTTATTTTGACTGACATCTTTTATCCACACTTACACATATGGGTGAATTCTTGTAGCTGCGATATTATTGTTTGTCTCTTGCTTCGCTAAACGATGAATCAAATGCACAGTTTATTTAATAACTCAATGTGTTGGATACAGTTAAGCCGAGTAGACTAATGCTGAATAATCTGCCCACATCCCTGTCGTTTTCTGGCATTCTGGGTATGACTGTACATGTCTGACCATATGAGTGAGAGTTTGCTGTTGATTGTTCATTTTGTTTTTTTGTGAGTTGTTGGGATTTGAGTATGACTACTATGATGAAATGCTTTTCAGTGTATGTTTATCTTTGCACTGATTCAATTTTGCTCTCCGTCTAAAAAAGTGCCTGCGTCTTTTTCTCTCAAAGGTCTGGCAGTTTTAACCCGTTTTTTTTTGTGTGTGTGTGCTGTAACCATTTTAATCTTGTTTGTTTATATTATTTATTATAAGAAAAAGCAATAAACCAAGTCTGAATTTATGTTGTTGATTTAAATGTCACATTTTAGCTTTCCATACAAAGAATTTACATATGTGAAATGGTTTGATATTGTTTTTGTTTTTTTCTGGACGCATCTGTTACCATCAGTTATTGAAAACCAAGGCTTTATTGCCCTCTGTTGGACATTTAAATCTACTGTCGAAAACACCTGTTAAACTGTTGTAAATAACTCCACTCATGACTTGTTAATTGTAATACTGTTTAAATAGATTAGGTAATTTGAGCAAGCTATCAAAACACTTATTCTTGGCCCTATAATAGTCCAGTCCAGTTGTCAAAATACATCCATGGTTTTATATGTCCTGTGTGTTGTCCCCATGTAAATTTTCACTTACCTCACTAAAACTGTCACATTAAGGAACTGATGTCACCAACTATTAGACCATGACAGCAAAGGCATCAGCAGGGATAATGCTGGCGAACATTTTGTTGTCAAGATTTCGCAAGGCCTTTGGGAAAAGGTAGAGCACAACAGTCAAAATAACAGTTTTAAAAGGGATAGTTCACCCAAAAATGAAAATTGCATTATTTACTCACCCTAATGTCATTCCAAATCTGTATGAGTCCTGGAATTTTTTGTATGAGATATTTATGTCTTCAGTGAACCATTTGCAGCGTAAATGTTAATTCATGGATGCAAAGTTATTGTCACATTATGGAAAGGTTTTTTTTTTTTTTTTTTTTTTTTCATTTATCGTGCAGCCCTAGTTAAAATAGTTCAACCAAAATTTTTGCTCCGTGTTTGTAATAAACATAACCATAAGGCATTTTTCTTCAGGGAAAAAGGCGTCTTGTCTGAATTAGGAGAGAAATATGCACAGATCAAGCACCATTTACAACGGTTTAAAGTAAAAAAAAAAAAAAACGTCTTGATGGATTTGTTTTTAACAAACAGGCAGCTATTCACTTCACATTACGTTAATTGATGGAATGGAGTCGTGCATACTTATGAATTATTGTGATGTTTTTATCAGCTGTTTGGACTCTCATTCTGATGGCATCCATTCACTGCAGAGGATCCATTGGTGATCAAATGATGTTACATTTTTCCAAAACATCATCTACATTTTGAATGGCCTGCAGGGTGTACATTTTAAGCAAATTTTAATTTTTGGGTGAACTATACCTTTACAAAATGACAGAAACATCCTTTAATAGTTCTGTCAAGTCAAGTCAAGTCAAGTCACCTTTATTTATATAGCGCTTTTAACAATACAGATTGTGGCAAAGCAACTGAACAGCATTAATTAGGAAAATAGTGTGTCAATAATGCAAAATGACTATAGTAGACACTCATTTTTCAGTTAAAGACAGTTCATATGCTCTATGCCCTTTGTTAATTGGTTTGCTTTCTTTTTGCAGGAACACTTCAGGAAACCAGATTAAGGTATTTATAAGCTACAGTTATTAATTGTGAAATTTCATTTTTCAGAAAAATGGACAGATAAACTAATATATATTAATATATTTTTTGTTATTTGAAATAAAGCTGAAATAAAATATAAATATTAGAAAATTCCTTCGCAAAGTTGAAGGACTTAAAATACTAAAAATAAAAAAACGAAAGCTATAATAAAAATGAGAAAAGCACATAAATTTACTAAAACTTACAGCAACATTAAAATGAAAAGTGAAAAAAGCTAATTCAAAATATTAATAGATACACTGGGTAGTTCAAGCACTTTCTGTTATAATAATTATTTTGGAGTCTCATGCATAACAGATGCTAAAACCACTGTTAATTAACAGATTTATGTTGCCTGAAAAGAGCTTTTATTGGGATACAGGCAAAGAGTACAGGCAACATTTCTCTTGTTCACTTGCCATCTTTAGCTGTGTTTTCAAGTTGTCCAACTTAATATTTGTTCACGAGGAAAACCATAAAATCACCCTCTTCGAGTTTTTCGTTTCCACTTAACCACAAAAACAACCCAGCCTTATAGACCTCAGGCCAGGGGCCTCTCCCATGGCCAAACCCCTCGTAAAGATTCCAGCACTAAAACAGCCCAAGGGTCTGGTCAGTGAAAGCGTTTAAAGTCAGTATTTAGACTAATTATTTTTATTTTTTAATTAATTTTTTGGCATGCAGCATCATAAATATAGACCTACCACTAGAATCTCGGACATTTAGTTTGTGTGCGACCAAGCTCTGCGAGACGTATTATAGGTCTGTAAAATTCCTGGACCCACTCTCATTCGTAAACGCTGCACTCCATGCATTACCACATAAATGTTTATCAGGCTCAATTCAAGCGCCTGTAAATTATAGCAGGAAGCTGAAGCTCAGCCTGCCACAAGTAAATGACTCTGTTTGCTGCAAGCTTTTTGCTGCAAGGTTCAATTAATTTGCTATTTGGAGGATGGGGTCTGTTTACCATTAGAGTCATAAATGTGATAGTTTTCCATAACAACAATGGAAACGCATAGAAAGAGGCCCGGATACACATTCTTGCTGTGGGTTTGTGGTAGATAGGAATTAGTTTATTTGTCTTCCTGTGGGTTTTTTACACATTTAACTACTGGCACCCGAGTCATTAGAATTAAGTCGTTAGAATTCTAGTCTCGAGTAAAAGCTTAAAAGGTTTTTAGGGAGATTGCATTTATAGAAAGTTTAAAAAAATATTCCTGGAACTTCATTAAACATATGTTTGCTGCGTTCTTTTACTCCACATTCTTTTCCTAAAAATCCTTCCTCTTCATTCCATCTGTAGCAGCTGGTGAGAACTGGAAATATGTGCCATCTTTAGCTGTGTTTTCAAGTTGCCTACAGTATGGTGTTTGCTGCGTTTCAGTGTTGTTGTTGTTGTCGTCATTGAAATTGAAGCGATAACTAAATCATTAGTCAGAAGTGTCCAACTTAATATTTGTTCACGAGGAAAACCATAAAATCACCCTCTTCGAGTTTTTCGTTTCCACTTAACCACAAAAACAACCCAGCCTTATAGACCTCAGGCCAGGGGCCTCTCCAATAGTTCTGTCAATTTAATAGTTCTATCTATGAGACATGATATCCTTCATGTATCCATCTATCTATCAATCATTTTATTTTTACTTATTTATTTATTTATTTATTCGAAAACTGTTACCATGGTACTAGCAATGTGTTTTTATACAGAGGTAGGTTTTCGCCACAATTTCAGGAACTGGATTTTCATCAGAGACCGCTTTGCTCTGATTGCACATCAGTCTTAGAGAGTTCTCCCACATCCAGGCCAATCGAAGCGCTTGTTGTCATTGTGGTGAAGTGTGCGCGTGGAATCCGGGGCGCTTTTATAAACGCTGCGCCAGCAGAAACTCGAGACGCGCCCACGGCGCACCACATTTACACAGCTCGGTCCAAAGATTATTCCCGCTTTATTCAGCAGCTCAGTTGGTCTAGTTAGAAATTAAATACCGCGTAATTCTCAATTTGATTAACTTGTTTATTAAACTTTAATCAATATGATTTGGGTAACTTTGTTCTGCCTCTGCGTCTTGGTAACATCGCTGCAAGCTGATGCGCGCCTCACTAAGCGCTATGTGATCGGCGGATGTCCAAGTCAGTGTGATAAGTCCATGTGTCCGTCGATGCCAAAGGACTGTCCGACAGGACAGGTGATGGATCACTGTAACTGCTGCCTGGTGTGCGCATCCGGAGAGGGAGAGGCGTGCGGCGGGGTGGGTAAGCTGGGGGACCCGGTGTGTGGAGAGGGTTTGGAGTGTTCCGTGACCGGAGGAGTGGGCTACTCCGCTACCGTCAGGAGGAGAGGGAAACACGGTATCTGTGTGTGGTTCACGAGGAAAACCATAAAATCACCCTCTTCGAGTTTTTCGTTTCCACTTAACCACAAAAACAACCCAGCCTTATAGACCTCAGGCCAGGGGCCTCTCCCATGGCCAAACCCCTCGTAAAGATTCCAGCACTAAAACAGCCCAAGGGTCTGGTCAGTGAAAGCGTTTAAAGTCAGTATTTAGACTAATTATTTTTATTTTTTAATTAATTTTTTGGCATGCAGCATCATAAATATAGACCTACCACTAGAATCTCGGACATTTAGTTTGTGTGCGACCAAGCTCTGCGAGACGTATTATAGGCCTGTAAAATTCCTGGACCCACTCTCATTCGTAAACGCTGCACTCCATGCATTACCACATAAATGTTTATCAGGCTCAATTCAAGCGCCTGTAAATTATAGCAGGAAGCTGAAGCTCAGCCTGCCACAAGTAAATGACTCTGTTTGCTGCAAGCTTTTTGCTGCAAGGTTCAATTAATTTGCTATTTGGAGGATGGGGTCTGTTTACCATTAGAGTCATAAATGTGATAGTTTTCCATAACAACAATGGAAACGCATAGAAAGAGGCCCGGATACACATTCTTGCTGTGGGTTTGTGGTAGATAGGAATTAGTTTATTTGTCTTCCTGTGGGTTTTTTACACATTTAACTACTGGCACCCGAGTCATTAGAATTAAGTCGTTAGAATTCTAGTCTCGAGTAAAAGCTTAAAAGGTTTTTAGGGAGATTGCATTTATAGAAAGTTTAAAAAAATATTCCTGGAACTTCATTAAACATATGTTTGCTGCGTTCTTTTACTCCACATTCTTTTCCTAAAAATCCTTCCTCTTCATTCCATCTGTAGCAGCTGGTGAGAACTGGAAATATGGTAAGCAACTCTAGATAACCACATAATATTAATATTACAGTTATAATAATAATATTTACAGATACTGAAACTGTTCTCTGGTTTTCTGTACTCTGGTGTCCATGTATGTTATTGCTTCATAAAACATCACATTGTTAAAACTATGGTTAAAATTAGGGCTGCACGATAAATCGCATGCGATATTTAATGCGCATCTTGTCAGAAAGCCGGTTCTGTATGGGCTACTCCGCTACCGTCAGGAGGAGAGGGAAACACGGTATCTGTGTGTGTAAAAGCAGCGACCCGGTGTGTGGCAGTGACGGGGTCTCCTATCAGAACATATGCGACCTAAAGCGGGT